TACAGAGATTTTTTGAGGCTTCAGTCTGACCTTGGTGCCAGGGAAGGTTATGGAGTAGATCATCTTGAGTGTCATCATGTGGCACATACTGGACAACCAAGGGTTCAGGACCTGTTGGCATGGGTTTATGAAAGGCAAGTCCTGCTTGAGTAATGAGATTTACTTCTGTGACAAGGTGATGTGCTTAGTGGATGAGGGAAGGCTGTGGATGTTGTCTGCCTGGACTTGAGTAAAGGTTTTGACACTGTTTTGCACAGTATCCTCCTGGACAAACTGGCTGCTCATGGCTTGGATGAGCGTACCCTCTTCTAGCTAAAAAAATGGCTGGATGGCCAGGGTCAATGAGTGGTGGTGAACGGAGTCAAATCCATTTGGCAGCTGGTCACAGGTTGTGTTCCCCAGGGCTCATTACTGGGGACTTATGCATTTACTTTCCTGCTTTTATCTTTATTCTGCACTGCTTTAAGGAGGAAGGGAATACTAAGAGAACAAATATCTTATCAATTTTATTAAATGAAGCATGAAAATTTATGCCTATGTCTTTCTTTGGTGGAGATATAAAATATGGAGATGCTTTCATTGTTTGAAGCCATAAGCTTGCCATCATGTAAATGAAAAAAGGAAATGCAATTATGAGCACTGGAGTAGTACTCCTAGTCCGGTAAGGAGGTTTTATATACTTACACAGATTATTTTAAATGTTTGTTTCATTTAGCCTGATATATGATCAAACAGAACAAATTTGATAATACACACTATATTTAGAGTTGTGTCTGTCTGGATTGGTATGTGTCCTGGTTTGGGGTAGAGAAGAACTAATTTTGTTCAGCGATTTTACTTTTCAGCTAAAGCTCCTTTGAATCTAACAGCCAATTGCTGGATCTAACAGCCAATTTTCACAGATGCTCTCTGCTTCTAGCAGTGATAACGCTCCATGTTTAGACCTATTGCCAAGGACTGGTGTGCAGACCAAGGTCACTGCTAAACTTGTGCACCACACAGGGGGGCAGAAAGTACAGGCTGCACCTGCAGGGAGGAGCGGACAAGACAAGTGACCCTAAAATTAAACAATGGGGTTTTCCATCCCATATCTGTCATATTAATTATAAAAGCTGAAGGATCAGAAGGGTCAAGTCCTTCCACCTCACTTCTGCCTGCCAGGCTTCCACCTTCTTCCTCACTTTTGCTGCTCCTGCAGTGGCCGGCATCCAAGGAGGACTTCATCCCTCCTGCCTTTGATGCGGAGCCCTGTGCTCCTGAACTGAGTTCCAGAATCCAGCTCCTGTGCCCAGTTGCTGTCTGTGGCTGAGTCCAGCCTGGGATTTTGCCCCAGGGCCTGCTCCCTAGCATCAGGGGTGATGGTGATTTATTGCCATCGGGGGAGGGGGAGTTGGGTCTGATACCAGTTTTGTATATCTATTACATTTTATTATTACTATTATTTTTATTAGCAGTATTAAAGCTGTTTCATTTTTCTAATCGCTAAGTCTCTCCCTTTTTCCCTTTGTTGGGTGGGAAGGGGGGTTAACAGAGAACATCTGTTACAGGTCTGGGGGCATCCCTGACCCTAAATCATGACAGTATGAAAATACTTGAAAATTAACAGTCTTTTAATGCTGAGAATTAAAGTTTTTCTTCATATAACTTCAATCACAATAATTAATTTAGGAGGGAAGTTTGGATCTCTTATCTTAACTACCATAAGAGAAGGACAAAAATCAAGGTGGCATCACTAATGTAAAATGGCCTCTTTCATTTTTTGATCCATTTTCTGAAGTAATGGTTAGTCTTGTTGGCAAGTGGAAGAAAATCTTCTGAATTAAGTTCAAACTACATATAACTGTAAATTAATTTACATTATCTGTGATGTGGGATTGCTATCTGTCATATTGCTTTTACAAGTTTTTCATGTTTTCAGAAATTCTGTACCTGTTCATAATGTTACTAACAAATGTGTAAAATTCTTGCATCACTGGAGTAGTCAGATACAAATTTAAGATAAAGGTTTCCTAAGAATTGCATCAGAGATTAGGGTACCAGTTTCCCCTTTTTTATTAAAAATAATAGATTAATCCTGGAGATTGAGAAAAACTTTTTCATTTCTACATTGATTTGGAGTTGTGTTGTATTGCTTTTGTCTTGGTAGGGTTGGAGACCCAAGTAACTGTGACTTCTAATCTCTTTTACATGCTTTTTGACTGGCTTTAGGAGCTTATTGGTATTTAATTCCTTTTTTTTCCCCTTGGAATTCTCTGGATATAAAGGAAGTGATTTGGATCTTCTAGAGATCCAAATTCCTTGGAACTGGGACATTGGGTCATTTCTTCCAGATTATTTAATAAATTTGATGTAATTTAGGAGGTGTTTTATTTTAGTTCTAACTTTTTTTACAGACAGTTTAGGATATGGTGCCTTTGATGAGAAAATGGAATAGTTGAACAGTGAATACTGCAATTAAAGAGGTTGTTTCCTATGTGTGATTTACACTTGACAGGTTTTTTACATCTGAATATGTAATGCTTTTGATATTTACTCTGTCACACCCCAAAACAAAACTTAAATAATTAAAATTAGGAATAAATTAAGCTATGTCCTGGTAGTCCACTTGGTGTACCTCCATACTGTGGACTGCAGTTTGGTACCGAGATACCCAAAGTAGCTTTGAAATAACTGGCTCCATTAGCAATGGTAGTCATTGTATATTTGAGCTCATTTGAACTCAAACAGTCTCAATGAAGAAGCAATGTTAAATTGTTCTGTAGGTTGACATTTTTTCATGACCTGTTCTCATCCAAAAAAATCCATCCTGAATCATGCTAAACATTGGCTGGTGAAGTGCTGGGGTTAAACTCCCAACCCTGAATGAGGTTTGGCATATTCCACAACCAGGCAAGAAAGACCCTCCTGATTGGTTTTCACCCAGGGTCTGGCCAGCCTTGGGTGGGAACTGATTAGGAGATCACCACCAGGTGCCCCCACCTTCCACATTAACTTGGAGGTGGGATGTCACAGTTTGGGCCTCCAGATCCCTGACAGATGCTCTCAGTTAACCCCCCCTTCCTTCTCAATCCCCGAAGGAAAAGAGAAAGCGAATAAGGGAGAGAGACATTGATTAGAAAAGTGAAACAGCTTTAATGAAAGTACTACCACTGCTACTACTAATCTGCTATTCTTGCGGATTTCTGGATGGCTCTCTCATGCATAGCTATCATGACTCTTTAAAAGAAATTTTTGTTAAATATAACTACGTCACAACTTCGGGGAGTAGATGCAAGCAGCTACTTTTGACTACCTAGCTCTGCTCATAAAAAACCCACCTTATTTCAGTTAAAATAGCTGCATAAAATATTTTGAAACTTGTATGGAGAAAACATCCATTCAACAACAGTACAAATCCTTTAACCATGATGCCTGTTTTAAGAATTTAAAGTGTAAGAGTATGCTTTATAAAAGAAAATATATTGTGACATGCTGAGGTTCATAGAAACGACAAGAAATTTTAGCTGGCATTGAAGACAGGCAGTTCTAAAAGTAAACAAGTGCCCACATTTTTGTCTAGCATAAATCTCAGAATCCAGTTTGTAAAACCATTCTTAATAGCAATTATTTGGGAAATATGTTAACTTTATGACTTGGTCATACTCAGCACAAAATCTTATGATTTAGCTCTAACTTCATGTTGTACAATATATGCAACAAAGAACAAACTGTAGTGACTTTTATGTGCAGAATGATGAAACAATTTTACTGCGATTTATAAGAACAAAATATATATGCGGAAGAAGTGTGTTAATGGTTTTTACAATGGGTAAAATAGGAAGAACTATTTATGAGAGTGTGACAAGGAAAAGGAAGAGGGAAAGATTTATATAAACTGCCATATAAAACCTTCTGATTCAAGATTAGAATATTTTATTACAGAGATTAAAAAATTATTTGGCTTATGACATCGAAATACTAGCCTAGTAGGGTGAACAGAAAATTCCT